TCATTAAGGAGTTAAAAAAACCTGTGCATTGGTCATCCAATCATTTTAATATACAGGTGATACTCAAAAAATTTGAATATCATGCAAAAGTTCATTCATTTCAGTAATGCAACGTAAAAGGGGAAACTAATATATGAGATAGATGCATTACATGCAAAGCAAGATAGTTCAAGCCGTGATTTGTCATAAGTGCGATGATTATGGCTTACAGCTCATGAAAACCCCAAATCCACAATCTCAGTAAATTAGAATATTGTGAAAAGGTGCAATATTCTAGGCTCACAGTGTCCCACTCTAATTGGCTATGTAAGCTTTAACACCTGCAAAGGGTTTCTGAGCCTTTAAATGGTCTCTCAGTCTGGTTCAGTAGGAATCACAATCATGAGGAAGACTGCTGACCTGACAGTTGTGCAGAAAACCATCATTGACACCCTGCATAAGGAAGGAAAGCCTCAAAACGTAATTGCGAAGGAAGTTGGATGTTCCCAAAGTGCTGCATCAAAGCACATTAATAGAAAGTTATGTGGAAGGAAAAGTGTGGAAGAAAAAGGTGCACAAGTAGCAGGGATGACCGCAGCCTGGAGAGGATTGTCAGGAAAAGGCCATTCAAATGTGTTGGGGACTTTCACAAGGAGTGGACTGAGGTTGGAGTCAGTGCATCAAGAGCCACCACACACAGACGGATCCTGGACATGGGCTTCAAATGTCGTATTCCTCTTGTCAAGCCACTCCTGAATAACAAACAACGTCAGAAGCGTCTTACCCGGGCTAAAAAAAAACAGACCTGGTCTGTTGCTCAGTGGTCCAAAGTCATCTTTTCTGATGAGAGCAACTTTTGCATCTCATTTGGAAACCAAGGACCCACAGTGCTTCATTAATTCCAGGGTCAACACAGCCATCTACCAGGAGATTTTGGAGCACTTCATGCTTCCTTCCACAGACAAGCTTTATGGGGATGCTGACTTCATTTTCCAGCAGGACTTAGCACCTGCCCACACTGCCAAATCACCAAAGCCTGGTTCAATGACCATGGGATTACTGTGCTTGATTGGCCAGCAAACTCGCCTGACCTGAACCCCATAGAGAATCTATGGGGCATTGCCAAGAGAAAGATGAGAGACATGTGACCGAACAATGCAGAAGTGCTGAAGGCCGCTATTGAAGCATCCTGGTCTTCCATAGCACCTCAGCAGTGCCACAGGCTGATAGCTTCAATGCCAAGCCGCATTGAGGCAATAATTGCTGCAAAAGGGGCCCAAACCAAGTACTGAGTATATATGTATGCTTATACTTTTCAGAGGTCCGATATTGTTCTATGTACACTTCTTGTTTTATTGATTGCATGTAATATTCTAATTTACTGAGATTGTGGATTTGGGGTTTTCATGAGCTGTAAGCCATAATCATCGCACTTATGACAAATCATGGCTTGAACTATCTGGCTTTGCATGTAATGCGTCTATCTCATATATTAGTTTCCCCTTTTACGTTGTATTACTGAAATAAATGAACTTTTGCACAATATTCTAATTTTTTGAGTATCACCTGTATATATTGATTTTTCTTTTCACAGCATCATAACATTTTTTGCCCATATAAACACAATTACTAATTTTAAGATTTATGTAAAGTTAATAATATGAGGCAATTCAAATCCTGACAATCAAATCACTGAATTGAAAGTTAAGTGAAGACATTTATGCAAAACCAAATGCTAGACAAGTTGGTGCATTGTATGTCAGAGGATAAAATACATTCAGACACTGATAATCCTTACTTAATGATGTGTTTCTTTTTATATATATTGTTAAAAAAGTAATGCAAAGTAAATTACTTTTTGTGCTTTGTTTAATGGCATATACAAATATTGGTTTGAATTGTGAATTTCAAAGTTGTCTTGTTTTATTGTATTTATTTTTTTATTGTTATAACTACTATGTAGCCAAACTATTGAAAAATATATTTTACATTAGCCAGAGGGATATGTAACTAGGCTTGAAAAGTAAACAAATTGATATGCCAATCTACATTTTTTTCTACATTTTTTTTGTAAGAATACTTTTTAAATTTTGTAAATAATCAGATTGATTATTTAAATCGCAAATTGAATTCTTCTAAATGGTTTGACTCTTGTAACTAATTTGCGTAATATTAAATTGCCTGAAATTTCATATTGTTAAAACATGAATACACAATTTATACAGCATCACTTCTAACATGCTTGCACATTAGCTGTAAGATGTTAAACTAATTAAAAAAAAAAGGTTCTTGTATTATCATTTATCTTTGTCATTAATTAAGAATATATGCTAAAGAGTTGATTCTGTAATAATCTTTAGACTTTAAAATTGTAGTAGTTTTTTAAGCTCTAGAATAGCTTTGAATTGTCAAGGATGTAAACTATTGTAATCTGTTTAATTTGCCTAGAGCATCAACTCTATCTATAAAATTGTCTGTAATTCCTTTGTTGAATGGCACATGGATCCATTCTCTTCCCCATTTGCTTGAGCTTTTGTCTGCTAAGTGCTTTAAGGTTTCTCATTTTTCACTGTTCACACTCATTTCAAGAAAATGAAGTATGTAATGCCACATCTAATCAGAAGAAAACATGCATTTCAAAGAAAATGAATATCTAAAGTGAAACAGATATAATCACAATTGGCTAAAACCTTTACATTTATGTATATTTATGGCTTGACATCATTCTTTAGAAAGGTCATTACCTTTGTAAGACTCTCAGCTATAAAATGTGTTAGGTTTTATCAATTTTCCATATAATGAGGATTCTCAATTATATCTCCGGGTATCTGAGGACAATGTAATTTACAAGCAATATAAGCAAAGCAATTGAAAGAAAAATGTCTAGGATTAAAAACATAGAAGCAAGGACAAGAACGGGTTTATTCATTTGGTTAATGAGAGAAATATGTAATTAAAACAATAAGTCATAGTGACTTACAAAAGTGCACCAGTTTTAAAATATACAGAAAAAATATATTATAGTATAGTTGTAAAACTTCCTTAACATAAAACTGAACTAAAACACAACTTATATGATTTAAAAAATGTATTTTTATGTGAACGCTGTCACTTAATTTTTATTATGTATGAATTTTGGTCACTACAGTTCACCTAATTTTTTTGTCTTTACTATTTCATTAAATCATTGACTGATGCTGAGTAGACATATTTAGATGCACTCCATCAGCTATTCCGTGTGTCATAAATTGTACTTCCTATTACCACTGCTCCTTGCTTCCAGGTACCTCTCCCCTGGGTCCTACCGTAACTTTATCAAAATAATGCTCATCCTTTCTCTCACCTCTTTAACTTACATCTCATGGACTTGGACCATGGCTTTCACTACAGGACACCCCTACAAAAATTTGAATATCATGCTAAAGTTCATTCATTTCAGTAATGCAACGTAAAAGGGGAAACTAATATTTGAGATAGACGCATTACATGCAAAGCAAGATAGTTCAAGCCGTGATTTGTCATAAGTGTGATGATTATGGCTTACAGCTCATGAAAACCCCAAATCCACAATCTCAGTAAATTAGAATATTGTGAAAAGGTGCAATATTCTAGGCTCACAGTGTCCCACTCTAATTGGCTAAGTAAGCTATAACACCTGCAAAGGGTTTCTGAGCCTTTAAATGGTCTCTCAGTTTGGTTCAGTAGGAATCACAATCATGACTGATATCCCCACATCGACTCTGACCAGTATAGTATAAAGCTATTTGTTTTTTCCAACATTTGGACTGACTTGAAGGCATCCACCAAGGCTAAGTAAAATTAATTATTCTTATAGGATTTATCTCTCTGGATTTTAAAGTAACATTAACATTTTCTCAATATATCTTTTAATTGTTCTTAGGACTTTTAGAAATTGCCCTGATAAAAGAAAAGTTAATTAAAGTAACTACATATATTTCTAACCTCTCTTTTGAGTCTCAAAGTTATCGTCCACCTGTGGATATCATCTGTGGATAAAAAAACAAAATACCTCCGAATAAGTGTTAATGTTTTTTTAATTTTTTTTATTTTAACAGCTTGACAACATAAAGAAAAAAACTGACAATAACAGCTGAACATGTTCATTTGATTCAGTATTCATATTTCAGAGATCAATGGGGTCGATAAAATGTTGCTGTGCATTTCGGCTGAATTCTGGTTATGAAAATTATTCAAGAAAGCTAGCAGGATCATGATGTTGTGACTGTGCTGACATGTAAAAACAGCTACAATATTACCTAACCTAATGCTATGCAATATCAGCCATTTTATTTTATTTTTTATAATTCTTTATTTTGTTGTGCACCTATAACAATACAAGCTTTCCTTGCCACAATAGCATCAGCACGCACAAGTATGACATATAATAGAAAACATTGGTGTGGCTTCAGAAACTGCATAATTTGTTATTTTTTTAGTATGATGGTATGCATTTGTGTGAGTCAGGAGGGGAGCTGGAAAGATTGTGTTATGCATGGTATCTGACGTTATGTGTATTAAACGTGAGGTAAAAGAAACCGGCTAAACCCCTTACTTTAAAATAGTAAGAGAAGAGAAACAAGCTAGAAGCTTGGTATATGCTAGGTGTAAGTTGGCTGACATGAGATTACAGTATAGCATGTTACAAGTAACAAGTGGGAGAGTAAGGTTAAGCTGTTGCTTGTCAAACACTGGACTCGGCATCGGATCGGACTGAGGAGAGCTGCATTGCCAAAGACAGAGGGCTATGTGTCCACACTGTAGGTCAACTCGTGAGGAGCAATGTAAGGCTGTCAGCCAATACCCAACCCAAGCATGCCTTTCACATGGTTGCGCAGTCCACCTGGGTGAGTAACCATGCAGTGCCAAAATGGAGCTTTAGTCCCGTCCCACGCCAGAGTAAATGCTGACCCTTTGTGGTATCCTTCTCTGAGATGTCTGGAGGCCATTTTCTCCACAGTTGGGATAGTACAGGAGGCCTGGTGAATCTTGGGTTTTGCTGCTCATTGCTGGTGACGTGCGATCCGAGCACAGTCAAACTCAGCCACCCCACACCACTTTCGTCGAGCAACATATAGGACCTGGTTCCGAAGTATGCCGTCAGGCATCTGCTTGTCACGCTGGGTATGTGCCGCCTGTGGCTGTGAGCAGAATATATGAGGATTTCTCTTGCTGGTCTGTGGCCCAGTCATATAGTAGCGCACAGGTATTTCAGACCTTCGGTGGTGATGCTGTTCTTGAGGTCTCGGCACTGCATTAGGGTTTCGCCCAGCATGTCTCAGCTGAAACTTACCTCTTTGTGGGGAAGCGTGGAGCGCTGCTGCAGTGACAGACCCCTGTGTTCTTTGGTAAATTCTGACAGGTGAGGTAGGGGTATGAGAGTGGGTGGCCATGCGGGTCAAGAAAAATAATAAGTGCACTTGAGTATAACAATGGCTGGGTGAGGCGGGTATAAATGTCTATTCTGCACAAGGTACAGACAAGTCTGGTGGGATCCATGCCTGGTTCATTTTCGTGGACAGGCGGCTGTGCTTGTCTGTGATAACCTTGTTCTGATTGCACGTCCCAGTGACGCCGACAACGCATTCGGATGTCTGCCCTATCAACTTTCGATGCTATTATCCACGCCTACCATGATGACCACGGGTAATGGGGAATTAGGGTTCGATTCCAGAGAAGGAGCCTGAAAAATGGCTCTCACATGCAAGGAAGGCAGACGACGCGCAAATTACTCACTCCCGACGCAGGGAGGGAGTGACGACAAATAACAATACACTACTCTTTCGAGGCCCTGTAATTGTAATGAGTCCACTTTAAATTCTTTAACTTAGATCAATTGGAGGGCAAGTCTGGTGCAGAGCGACTGACCCGCGCGTGCTGCAGTTGAAACTCCACTATCGCCTGCTGCTGCTCGCTGAAGTTGCATCATACTGCCTTGCTAAATCACTACTAGGCACTTGTAAGAGCTTGTTCCTGCCTTGCTCTCTGGAGGAGTCTGCGGTTGATATGGTGTCTGCTGCACTGCTTGGAGTCCTTGGGAAGCTCTAGGAGCATCCTTCAACGGAGGTACCCAGTCGGGGTGCCCATTGATCCGTTACACTCCTCAATCAGGTACGGCGCCAGGGGACTTGTTAAGACAGATAAGACTATGGCTCTCGCTCAGTTAAAAACCATCATACCTCAACGTGACTGGGCCCACACTCCCAACAACCTTAGTCAGCCTTGATTACGGCAATTCACAATGGCACGATGGGTCTCATATTTTCACACTATAATTCAATTTCGTAGCTACAAGCCAGTTATGTAGTTTACTTCAATAATATTCATTCCCTATATAACTAATAATAGGCCGTTAATTACTCTAGCTAAATTACTCTGGCTAATTTCCTTAAGTGGTATCTCCTTAGTCCCCAATTTTTCAGGTAGTATGATCATGCTGTGATCATATCTATTTAACCTCACCCTGGGACATGCACAAACATACGGAATTCTAAACGCTTACAATTCCAGTCATCACAGAGAACTGAACACATTTATGTCTTACAATTTACCAACCACTAAGTCTACGCCAGTAGGGGGAGTACCAACTATATATCCATGTTACATCAAGTTAGTTGTCATTGGAAGAAGTACTCAGTGCTACTTATACCATGCGGTGAGATTTACCAGCTCAAATATTGTATCTTCCAGCTCAAACTGTTCAGGTGAACTCTTTCTTTAATTACGGGTACAATACAAGCAGTAGTACTGATCATCCTTCTGTTACAGTAATATTATGTTTCAAACGTCAGATGATGTCAAACTCACATTATGCAAGTTCTAAGTACATCGACTACCAATCAAACATGTCTATGTAATCAATACAAATGCGAGTCAGGGCAAGCCATTAGCATGTCTACTAAATACTCACTGCACCTACACTACGACCGCCGCATACTAATTCAAACCTTTGTCAATTGCTAAGGACTTACCGCCGCACGCCGGAAGCTCACAAGGCCCTCCATGAGAATTCAGTCATACGTAACGCAATTTTAGTGACATAGTTATAACAAGTTACTTTACGTGTCAAGCTATCCATCGGAATATTGACTGTTGTGCTGTTTTGGTTTAGAAGTGTTACACCGGTAGGCATCTTAGGACACGTTGTATTTGCAATCCAAAGTCTAACATTTATAATGTTTTATTATACCGACTCATACATTCTGTAAGTCGAACCAAAATCGGACACTCCTCTTCACTTTCAGCTCGTAAAGTGCACATTTTCCCTTCTGATAATAACTACCGTTCCCTAAATTCTTTCGGGCCAGAGCTCAATCGGTAGTGTCATCAGGTACCTTTTCCAATCCTTCTCTTTCCAATTCTATCCAGGTGGTTCACACACACATGATTACCTTTACAACCATTCTATGAGGCCAACTTCCCACCTCTACACAGAGGTTTCTCAGACGGCCCAAATCATAGTTAGTGCCTCGCATACTCTACAGGGTTACAGTCAGGGCCTCACATGTCATAGCCACTCGTATTGACTCTTTTACAGCCACCGAGAGGCCAACAACCCGCTACAACGCATGGTAGCCACTAGCCCACACGGCCCAAATCATAGGTAGAGCCTCTCACCGCCACTTGGCAACTAGCAGAGCCTCACCTGTCACTTACTAGTTAATATTTTCGCTATCGGCACTAGTAAGCAACCCAGCTCTACACAAGGCATGTTATTCAATTTGCATCAAACTTGGCATAAGTCACTCATCATAAATTCCCTTACAAGAGATCTAGATACTCCAACCCTGTCATCCCAGGTCCCCAGTTGAAGCCTCTATCCCAGACACCTACAAGGCCTTGGACCTTGATTTAGTTTGAGGGTTGAGCTTAAAGTGTGAAGGCACTATCGTCCTGGCCACGGCTGAAAGACTACATATTATGCCATAGCATAATTTTCCACATTCAATCTTCCCTAAGCATTTTGATTTTTCACCATACAAATCATAGTAGTTCCCCATATGGCCAGGTGTCGCAACAAACTGGATTTAGTATCATCATTCTCAAAATCGGGGATATACACTCGCAACACAAGCGTTGTTTTAATTATATTGTTACATAATAGTCATTGGCGTTGCTTACTTCCAATGCGTTTGGAACAGGTCACAACAATGCCGGTATTATCAACACAAGTTACGTTCCAGGTAAACACTCATCTTAGCTTATCATTAACATCGCTTTGATTACCTAAAATTTCTGTCTTCTCCAACGTCACTATTCCCTTATCCGCCTCTGTGCTATCCAAATGAACGTTAGATCAACACGGGCCCACGTTTCAGGTAATTATCTGCCAACTATACGATCTCGTAACAGGCTCACATTTCAAATACAATATATAGGTTATCATTATTAGAATTTTATGTATGTTGTAAGGCCGTATTGTGTTTATCTCGTATATGCTGTTAAATGTATATATGACACCGGATTAGTGCTAGTCATTTACCCTCATTACATGTAAGAAGGCCTTCACAACTTCTATGCTTATCTTAACTTAATCTTAATCTTAACAGATTAGGTTCTATAGTTCAGATGTCTACACTGTCACACCTATCGGGTACGCAAAACCCCTTAGTCTCGGGATGTCAAGAGACATGACACTTTATACGCAACCGGCGTATGGTCCATTCTAGGTAGACATTGTACCATTTCGATCAATTCACGCTTTCACGCTCACTTACATTCTTTCTCTACGTTTTCGGTCCATAGGGAATCAACTTCTCTCACGTGGGCTGCTATACTGGTATAGAAGTACCCCCCCTTGTTCTCCCTAAGAGACATTTTGACTCGGCCACCCCATCTCTTACAATCAGGAGTCTCATCAGGAGACCCACAGGGTCAGCAGCTACACAACACTTTCACTTGTATCATGAACATGTATCGGGCAACCACAACACAGCAGCTGACTGCAACAGCACATTTAAGGTTTCAACAATCGCTGGCAACAAATGGTTCAGAGAGAAATGGCCGATAGAAACTATAACTCTGCCATCGTTTAACAGTATTTCGGCCCTTTTCGAAATATACCCACTAGTGGCAGCATAAACACCATTAAACCACTGCACGGGCGGTGTTGTCATACTCGTGAGACCTCGCTGAACACGAATATGAGTTTGTCAAAACAGTAAAACTTATCACAACGGTGACATCACCAGGGAAAATTGCAGTTTCATTTAAAAAATACAAAACAATATGAACAATAACTTTGGCCAGCGTTCATGACTTAGTGGTTATCACAGAGAAGACCAAAAAATGCGTCACTGACAAACACAACAGTGTGCAATATCATTAACAAAGGCAGGTCTTCTTCCCAGACAATAATGAGTCTAGTTAGAAGGCTCACATGGTAAGCAGTAGCACAAAATTTCCACCTGATCCGTGAACACATACTAGGCAGGCAACACACAGCAACCAACGCCCTTTCTCGTTGCAATCTACAGGGTTTCTATCAAGAACATCCTACAGCCAAGTAAATCCCAAACAGATCATCGCTATTCCAGGAATTCGTCCTGGAGTAAGAACACCAATGGCACACGGGTGAATGTTGGCACAAACAGCACTATCAGCAAACACTAGATATTCATACAATCGAGCACACACTTTATTTAACAGATTTACTACAGAATATCAAATACAAATCCCGTTCACGTTAGATACCATGGTGGCTTTTACCTCTTTTTGCCACCTAAATTTAAAACTCACACATAATACCATAAACTTTTATCTAACAGGCATGTAATACCATATCACTAACACATACCCCAGCCACAATAACTTCCTAACATCGAACCAATTAAAACAATTTTAAAGGCATGCTACGGTTAGAATGCCCCAAAACTACAAAACGACAATCCGATAGAGGGGGAAAGGTTCAGAGCCTTATCCGACACATTAAACTCACAACCCCTCGTAACAGAAACTACCAACACCATCAAAACCACTGTTTCTGGCAATTCATGGTCAAGAGAAGACCACTCTTCTGCTACACTTACATTACACTGACATCCAAATTCATGTCAGACATAAAACCCAAATTATCAATCATCGGTTTCGGCATACCAGAACCAACTTTAGTGAATCATAAGGTCTACAAAACGACAATCCGATAGAGGGGGAAAGGTTCAGAGCCTTATCCGACACATTAAACTCACAACCTCTCGTAACAGAAACTACCAACACCATCAAAACCACTGTTTCTGGCAATTCATGGTCAAGAGAAGACCACTCTTCTGTTACACTTACATTACACTGACATCCAAATTCATGTCAGACATAAAACCCAAATCATCAATCATCGGTTTCGGCATACCAGAACCAACTTTAGTTAATCATAAGGTTAATCATAAGAGAATTTGGCACCATAAACATCACTTCCCAGGACTACATTAACATTTCTCAGATTATTAAAATACAAGACCACTATGTCTTATCCCTCAGCCATACAAAGACTACCCAGAGGGAGCAGGTGGTAAAAATGTCCTATTACCCTAAATACAATAAATGGTGCCCAGACCGAGTACTAGATAATTATTTAACCCCTGTTCCCAGTTCCTCTACCCAACCTCTACTAGCTTTACACAACAATACTCTCACAACGAATAAATTCATGCTCTATATCAGGGTATTGCTGGTAAGATTAGGCCTTAATCCATCAAATTACTCAGGTCACTCCTTCTGAATTGGGGCAGCCTCCACTAGTAAAAACATACCAGTACATATTATTAATCCTCTGCTTACGCCAGATACATACCTCAATCCATGAGGGAAATACGCAACGCTTTCTGTAATATGAATATGTAATAGATAATATATGCTTGTTATTTGTAGGCTGAATAAATCCTGTTTGGTATACTAATTTTT